TTCTACCTCGGTATTGAGGTGGTCAGGAAATGCCAATATCTTGGCAAAATGAACGATTGAAACGCCACACACCCCACAATCATCGAGAAATGGCGCTGGCTACGTTATGTCTGGATGGCGTCGGCGCGACCCATCTCGCGCTTACAAAAAGTTGTTACGCTTTTTTGTTGAAAAGCTGCTGAAAAAAGTCAATAGAGGATATAGAATGTCAACAGCTTTTTTCTTCACTTTCTTTTGAATATTGACCCACTTTTTTGATGAAAGTCAACAGACTTCTCGTGATGCTCTTCTGTTGAAAAGCTGTTAAAAAAAGTTATCAGAGGATATAAAATGTCAACAGCTTTTCATCTGACTTCCTCTAGCTTTTCTCTTGACTTTCTTTAGAATATTAGCCTACCTTGTAATAAGAAAGTCCAGAGACTTTCTGTCGCCTCCAAGATGCTTTTTCGGCAGCCTTCCAACTGAAAAGATACAAATGATTAAAAATAAAAAAAAAATTTTTTACAGCTTAGCTATTCATTCAACAATGTTTTAGAAGCTTACTATGGCTTTCCACTCCTCCAAATTAGTTCCAGCAAAATAAGTAAAAAAAAAAAACGCGAATTTTGTTAGTAGATGGTTTCCCTGTGGTATTTAAGTCACTACTACTACATCCCACATTTACACATTAGAAACGAACAGAAACACGAAGCACTGAACACCTCAATTATTTTTATTTATTTGCACCGAACGCCTGAATCACAATCCCAATGACTGCCGCAGAGCCTTATATAGCCTACATATTGAAGGAAACCATTTGGCCGGTGACCCCTCAGCACTTATTAAGGTTCCAAGTATTTGAAATTCTCATCGGGAGACTGTCAAATTAAAAACAGTCTTTCGAAGTTCGTGCACGATATCTCTTACTGAAAAGCATTGGTACTACTAATAATGATTCGGCGAAGACGCTAAAACGACATCCACAAAAACGGCTTCAATAAAAAATATTATTACTCAGGACGAAGCGAGTCAAGGCAGGTTCTCCACTTTAAAATAGTTTTTTTTTTTGCAAGTTGACTATTCAATATGGTCATTAAAGTCACTATTGTCACTTACACCGTCAGAACGGCAGGGCATGCCTTTCGAACGCCTGACCTCCAGCTCACGCCCCATGCCTTCCGTCGTGCTTTGACTGTACGCGCGCGCTCGAAGTGCACGAACGCGGAAGCGCTGTCAAGGGTAGTAGGCTCGCGCTGGAGGCGGGACAACTGAAGCTGCTTCCCGTTCTCACCTTGTCGGAGACTTTTGAAAAACTTAGCGACTTTTGACATCTTGTCGAGGTGTACAATGTTCAATAAAAAGTCGACAGAAAGTCTGTAGCTTTTCTATTGACACTGGCTACAGAGAGTCAACAGAAAATTTCCAACACGAAGTAAACAGAACGTCAGCAGTCATTTTGATGACACTGTCAACTGAAAGTCAGGAGAAAAAAATCTGCATAACGTTAATAGAAAGTCAACACCTTTTCTTTTGACTCAGACTGAAGAAAATCATCACAAAAGTTTCAACGCAAAGTCAACAAACGTTTTGTTGACCATGTCAACAGAAAGTCAACACCTTTTCTTTTGACTCAGGCTGAAGAAAATCATTAGAAAAGTTTTAACACAACGCCAACAAACTTTCTGTTAACCATGTCAACAGAAAGTCAAAATCAAAAGGAAGTAATCCGAGTTAACAAGAAGTCAACACGTTTTGAATAAAAAGTAAAAAATCATTGTTATAGGGGCGCACTTCACAAATATCGGCTGGATCAAAATGGCATCGGGAAAATCTTACCGACATGACGCTAATATCGGCGCAACACTGTGTGCTGCTTTGGGATACACACCTGTTTTCTGGTAGAAAAGATGTCTAATGTGTGAAGATCTTTTCCAGGTGAGGGATCCGCCAGTGGCAGTCACGACAGAGGGGAGCCGGCTGTGTGAACGACGTCTTGCGCTGAGGAGCGTGGCATATTTGCCACGAAAACGCTGCCGTGAAAGTTTTGTGGGGTGCTGAAGGTTTAATTTATGTGATCGTTGAACCATAAGCACAGCCAAGGAACGCTATTAAATGTGATATAGCATTGATATATTATATACGTGTCAATCTGATACCAGAATAACAACCTATGGTTAACAGATAAAAAGAGAAATAAGAATTCATGAATATATTCGATGGTGTTGTCAATACAGATTTTTTACACGGTCGACGTGAAAGGTGTAATGAAAAAGGCTTACACCATTTTCCCACGTTTTGGCTGCCTGCAGGGTGTAGAAAAGGTGTAGGAAGGATGTTAATGACCATTTTACCCTTGTTACACCTATTAATACTAAAAAAGCTAGTAAATTGATGCAAGGGGGTATAACAAGTGTTTTTTTTTTTTCGAAAATAATACTTTTTACACGGCTATAGGTGTGAAAATTTTTAGTGTTAATTGTGCGTGAACGCGATGCTGATGCCCAACGACTTCGCCGTGATGTGGCGCAGCTACTGTTATGACTGCGGATTAACACGGCTGCTCAATTTTCGGCATATCGGTAGTTCAGCCCCATGTTGCGGTTAATGAAACTGTTCAAATTGCGAGCTGAAGACCTACTTTTCCTGAAAGATTTTTGAATATATTAGGAGCTGGGGAAAGTCAGCCATCTGCGTTAGGTCCTTCTTTGGAGCTCTTTTTGTTCACGTTAGGCCCATCGAAACGCACGGCTAAAGAGGCTACGCACCTTATCTCGCCACTCCGCCGTCTTCTTCCGCATCAGAGCCGTGTCCCGCATGATAGAGTCCATCTGCTATGGTCATCGTCACCGTGGTAGCGAGCTAGGTGTCTTCTACATAGAAGAATGCGCGAACCCAGCGTCTGAAGCCAGTAACCGGAGACGCCATCTTCCGGGTGTTGTCTGCTGACGTCAACGTGTCAGTGGTAGCCAAAGTCGGACGCGCCACTGTGGAGGTCGACGCTGAGAGCGGAATGCGGTCGCCTGGCGAACCCTTAGCGGTTCCGACGAGGCTTGGTGCACGCTCGGGCATGACATTATATTAAAGTTACGCCGAAAGAAACGAGGGGTGATTGCGCGCAGCACGGTCGACTTGAGCCTATCTTGGAACCGAAGCTAGCGTTGCCGCCTTGAGAGCAGACGGCATTCGGAAATTGACACGTTTGTGGCTGACTTCAGACGCCGCGTGTGTCTCTACACCGAGTAAGTGTTTTAAAATGCCTATCTGGAGCATCGAAACGCAAGCAGGGCACAGAAATGAAAAGGTAACATAGACAACGAGCGTGGTGCGAGCGATGACGAGGCAGCCATTCGCACGCCGTCATTAGTTGAGGTCGGGGGAAAACAAAACCATGGATGCTCGTTCGGGGGGTGACTTTAATGTGCCGAAAGAGATGGTGGTGTGGCGACATCAAGTGCGTACTTCGGCTTTTCCATTTCCACCGTACTTTTCATTGGGCGGAACGTGAACAAGAAAAAGGTTCGAGATAAAGACTTAATGCGGTTGACTGATGTTTTCTAGTACCTTATATTTTACAAACCTTAAACGAAAATTATAAATTCTGGGTCCTCCGATGCCTGGTATCTTTCCCCTGGAACATTGGACTGAAGTATCTAACTGCTAAACTTCTTAAATCAGTGTTCGTGCGTGTGCGTTTCCTAAATCTTTCTCTCCTTACCGTTCAAAATGTTCCTTCTCATCTTTCCAATATTTTTGTGATTCTCTTCTTCAGGAGGTAGGAAACCAGCGCTTCGACACGTGCTTCTTTTTTATATTACATTTTGGAAGAATCGGATTTCTGAGCATGCACGCTAGAAACTCAATGATTTGTGTCAATATATTTGGTTTTTGTCTTGCAGTTTATGCTTCTGAAATCCCTAATTTATTAAGGTATTGCTAAACATGATATTGGTTTTCAAGAATTTGAGCATTCTGACACTAAACTAGGGCACTGCACTGGCCCGGGCCAGCCCAATGGCCTGTGACTGGCCCGGCACGTGGGTGGGGCTCGGGCCGGGTAGTACGCTCTTTCTCGGGCCCGGGCCGAGTTCGGGCTTGAAGAAAACATTGTTTAGGGCCGTGCCTGAGCGGTCGTGTGCCACAAATTTTAAATTGTTGATAAAAAAACTGTGCTCGTTGATCTTTTAGCTTCAATGTAAACAAGCAAGCCAAGTGCAAAATCACTACGGCGGGCCGTACAAAAAAAAAAAAAGAAACAAAAAAAGTATTGCATTTGGAAAACTTTGAAGTGTGTAAAAGAAAACGCATGGACTCCACCAGCATAGTGGGAGAGTGCGCGCTTTATGCTTAGAAAGTTCTTGTGTTAAAACCCGCTAACGTTTTCGGGCTCATGTTCATAATCTGCCGGACTCGGGCCTGGCTCAGGCTCATATTTTTAAGAAAATTACCGAGCTCCGGCCGAGCCCGGGCCTTGCTTCTACCGGGCTGGGTCTGACCGGGCCTGGAAATTCAATATTGTGTCGGGCTCGGGCATGGCCCGGGCGGTGTATCTAGCGGGCTGGGTCGGGCCGGGCATAAAAATTCCGGCCCGTGCAGTGCTTTACACTAAACTGCCAAATAAGTACCAGAGTCAGGTTTCACTACTTCGTTTTTCGGTTGACGCCTAGCTCCTTTGGGCCAGTGTGCCCTAAGAAATGGCAGATATAGGCCCGACATCTGACTGCTCTCTTTTCACCTTTCAACTTTTAGCCTGCATTCTTATACAAGTGCCTAAATTAGCCTTTATGGCGGCTTTTTCGGTTGATACGCGGCATCTATATCTTTTCTCTGGCACTTTGGTGATTACGTGGCGAATCAGGGAAGAGCCTTAGGAAAGTTTAAGAAAACAACTTTGGCACCAACTGACGCCTTGGAGCAGTTAGGCCCACAGGACTGCACAATTATCGCCACGTTAGGCGCGGTCCTAGTTTAAAGAGTGACCCGCTTATTCACTTCAGTCCGTAATACCGCGTTTTCTTTTGCAGGGACACTGCCGAACAAAACTCTTTTATGTACTTTTGGGACTCACTTAAACACGTCTACAGCGCCGCCCAAGGAAGGCCTCTGTGACATCATTTTCTGGGACTACTTCTACGACTCTGGGAGGGGCACCTTTCACGACACCAGCTCGGTCGGGTTGCAGTGGTTTCTGGAATTCGTCCGGAACGACAGTGGAACCACCCAATTCGGAATAGGAATTGACCACGGGTATTATTCTGACTTGACGTGCATACCAGAGACATTCGTGGCTGTAGGTTTTTAGCCAGCAGAGGTCTAACCCGTTGTTTTTAAGAAAAAGGAAAATCGGTATTAGCCTACGTTGAAACGATGTGTTTTGAAAGGTCTCTTCGTCAACGAAATTGAACACCAAAGGACAAAGGAACTATTTATTTAACATGAAACTTTCTTTCAATAGGTGTTCCGTATTTCGTGAAGCCACTTTTCATAAAGCCGTGACCTGTAACATCCCATAATGCAACGTGCTCAGCGTTTCTTTATGGGTCATCGCAAAACTTACACACCAATTCAGATTTCAGTTTCTCGAGTTCTGGTGTTTAAAATGGTCAGTATCAGCTCTCTTTTTGAGATCAAGCAATATAATAGTACAGGGACAACGAAGAAAATTTTATGGGCGATAACTTTCCCAACTGACAGCCTTATAAAGCTCTCAGCTTTCACCGGCTTGTGACACTAATCCGGCGCTGAGAGGAGTATTCATACGAGAGATGAATTCCGGGGTTTCTCCTCGGCATACGCATCACGGTACAAAAGCGCCCGGCTCTTTCGATGCGGCGTGTTGACGCTAGCTCCGTGGCGGAGGAAGAAAACTATGCTTTGAGGGTGCAACCAATTTCGGTTTGGCTGCGGATAAGTCTGTTTTTCACGATAGTTGGTCGTTAAACGCTTTTGTGTCCAGTGTGGAAAACGCTAGATTTGTCTGCGGTGGTGTAAAGGCTGAAAACCGCTGACCTTGACTGCCAACACTAGCATCTCTTCCTCCGCGCGGACCCTGTCGGTCTAAAAAACGGTTAAAGGCCTGACCACACTAGCGGCAACGGCGCCGCCGTCCGGCATTTGGTCTCGGTTTTACGAGCGTTATAGTCAGGTGACAGCACTGACTCCTGCGTTCTTGAGGACGCGGGCCGAGCCTCCGCCGGATTTCCCGCTCTTTCCTCCTCTGCTCTTTGTCAGATTCTTCCATTTCGGCTGTTATCTTTTCGCATATATCAGCATCCAAACCGTACTCGCTGCCTACATGGTAGCTGTCCATAATCATCTGGTGGTCAACATGTATGTGACCATTCTAGCCTGCGTGTTGATCTTTCGGCAAGCCGCGCTCTGAAGGGAAGGAGCCGCAGGTTTCGGGTCCGGCCGAGTTGATGCTACCGAAACCCCGAGAGTAAGGTCAGTGCTTTTCTGCCCCGGTTGCGCGCCAGAGATGAAGGCTACTTTCAGGAGTGTCACCGAGGTCAATACAACAACCGTCACAACGCCCGCGATATGCGACGAGTGCCACGGAGAAACTCACCTGTTATTCCGAATCATCTTCGATAATTTCCCAGTGGTTGTTCTTAGCGTCCTTATCTAGGTAGTCCGGCTGCGTATAAATTGTCATAAAAAACGAAAGACGTTTACGATCCCCTGTAACGCCGAATTAGAGCGCAGCTCTTGAGGAGGAGGAGGGGAAGGTACGGAGGGGACGCTATGTCCCTCATCCTCTTCTGCTCGCCTCCCATTTAGGGGAAATTTTTCCGCTAAAATTAACGAGAAATGTTTTCAGCTAAATTTAGCGGAGAAATTTACCCATAATGTACCACGCTGTTACGCCGACGCCGGCGCCGAGGGCGAGGGCGACGCCGCTCAATCCAGAGACGGGCACCTAACAGCTGCGCTCTTAAACGGGAAACAGTGGCAGTGTTTCAAGGAACAGCTCCGTCGGGAAAAGCATTGGGGGAAGTTTGCATAGCAGACGAAACGAAACTACGCCACGCTCCATCGCAACGTGAAAGCCGCGCGAAGAAGCGGCTCGCACTTTGCCATGGCATCGCAACGTCACTCTTTACGCCTCCTCCCATTGGCTTCTTTCTCCTGCGGCAGGAAACGGCGAGCCCTCAAGCGTGCACGGGCAGGTAGAGTTCCTGTATAGGCTCCCTACAGCATATACAGGAACGCTACGGGCAGGTTGCCTTGACTGCGCCGAGCGGCGATCCGCTGAGGGCGAAAACTATTTTTGGCCTTCAGCCCGCGGAGGCCAGCGGCGTGCAGCAAGCCTCGGCGACGCTAGTGAGTTCAGGCCTTTAGTCAGGTGCTCCCGAACCGTTTGAGACTGACAATTTCATTATTGGGGTCGTCACTCCCTTTTAAGCTAATAAAGAAAACATTCGCGTGGTGCACAAATAATGCGCGAGCGCATTTCGTAGTGGCAAATCAATCTCTAAATTTCATATAAAATCCGGTGTTAGAGCCCGAACCGACTTCCTCAGTTTCGAAAAAGAGCATAAATATATATAAAATATATCTATTTTACTTACACCGGGTGTTTCAATGAAGGTTTTCAAAAATCATTAAACTATGGTGATTGAGCAAAAAAGGAACACTTTTCGGATGAATCTGCCAGCCCCGACGGACGTCAAAGAGTGTAATAAGTTCAATTAGCTAGACATGTTATATTTAAAATTTTAATCAATAAAAATAAGTATAGGGTTTTATTTACGAAGTTGCGAAGCATCATGAAATACTCTTAAATCAACTCATTTTAGAAATATTAAGAGAAGGGTAACGTTTTTATGGCTGTCCCCAAACAAAATCCCTTTGGAAGAGTTTTTAGGTTTATGCTCCTCAGCTTTGAGCCCTCGGTCCTGCCCCCTGACGGCCGAGGCGCAAAGCCACCGTCTCTCCTCACTCGTAAGATGGAGGGAAGTATGGCGCACGTGGCGTTGCACATTTTTGCCCCTGGGGGTCATGACTGTGGGCATAACTCGCCACGCTCCAATAGAAAACCGAACCCTGAAAACCCGTCCGGATAGAGCGTTCTTTTTTTTTTCCTTTTTGGAACGTCGTAAAATGTTACATCTGGCTTACTACATCTTTTCAAAATGAGTTGCGTTAGTGGATTTTGACTATGCTTATCGAGATTCTTTCGAAAACCAAGTTTATCTTCATTGATTAAATCACATTATTACAAATAACTTGATTATTTATTAATTAGCATTTTTTCATTCCTTGGCGTCCACAAGGAAATAGTTTTCATTTTTTTCCTCTCAACCATTCGTTTATAAGAGATTTCTTAAACCCTTCGCTGAAACATCCGGTATCTAGGAAATGGATTGATGTTTTTAGATAAGTTGTAAACGAGTGCATGAGTTGCTTTGCTTGAGGCTGGTTCTGCGGATATACTGGATATATTACCGTTTTATTTAGGCGGTATATACTTTAACGACTTCCCTCCGCATTTTTTGTTAACTGAGAACGGTGCTCTTGAAGAGGCAATTGAATCGAGTATTATTCAACCAGAGCTTATTGATATGTGCAATTTTTTACAGCAATGCCCTTGGAGCATACGACGACCTCAACAAAGCCGATGGTATGAGAACATTTACAGAATTCTGGAAAATGAACATCCGGCATTACGGACTGCTCAAGTTTCAAGTGCACGCCAATCTAACCAATAGCAGTACCGTCCAGGACTACGATAATCTTTTGAAGGTAACTCACAGCCTTCCTTCTTTGTGGGAAAATGCCGGACAATAGATTACTCGTGTTCGTATCTGAAACATACAAAATAATAAGAATAATATAATCGCGTGTTTTATATTTTAAGGTTACCTAGACAATTGCTCGGTTCTAGCATCTGAAAATGACTCAGAAATTAAATCCGTATCACAAAGCCGGATATACTTACACCGTGAAAATGTGGCATGTTAGGAAAGTATCACGATAGCGCATTCCGAAAATCCGCAGTGCCTCTAAGCGCCTTTTTGACGCAGTACAGCAATCCTACTAACGGTCCTTGAAGTAATAAATCAACGGAGCAAATAATCTTGTTTATCATTTGCGATTTCAGAACGCAAAAAAATGCGGTTCGATAACAAAGCAGGGTACTATCGTCTTGGTGATCTGCTCGCTTTGTTTTCTTTGAGTCCTGAACTCGCAGTGAACAGAGATAATGAAATTAGTCACTTCCAGGATATACGGAGCCTGCGAGCTTACCCGAGAGTACATCGGAACGGCCGCACAATTCACTGCACCATGTGCTCTAATGTGCGGTTGTCGAAATGCATTGTGGGGTTTTCGGGAAAGCCCTACACTGCGCGGCCACTTTTCTTGGCATTTCCGCGGAGAGGAGGAGAGCCCGCGCACAGCGTTATTCTGCGCTCAAAATGGAAGAGGCAATGCGAGCCTGTACCTTCCACTCCATTGCCAAGACAAATTGTCGCGGAGTGGAAACATGCACCCAGTAAAAGGAGTTGCCGTTCGTCCTTTCCAAGATTAGCCAGATGCTAACTGTACGTCTACCATAAGGATATGGTGCCTTTCATTCTGACATACATCATCAAATGTTTTGTTTGGAACCGGTTTTGACGTCACTGGTAGGAATCTCAACAAGGCGCCACCGAAACATCTCCTCACGAATGTGAAGGACGATGCTTTCGCTCGAATCTCAGCGCATACAATGCCTACCTTCACACCCTTTGGCTTCGCGCCTAAGTCTAAAAAATTAATCTTGACTGCCTTCAGACGAAATTATAAGCTCTGTGCCTCATAGCTTTGTTAACCTGTTTTTGTCGTTCCGGGTGCGGTACTGGCCAGTACGGGAAAAATACTGTCGACTCGTTGGTTACATGGCAGCGCGCTCCCCAGGACTTATGTAGTGGTCTTCTAAAATTACGCAAGTTTTCGGGGTTAGAGCGGTCAAGCGTGACTTAAAAACGACTATAGGTCACTACTAAATGCGAGGCACTTCTTCCGTCTGCCGCCCATGGAAAGCGAACACAAGGAAAATGGCACTGAGCCGTCTGCGCTCTCTTTTATTCCCTCATAAACACCACAATGCAATTCTTAAAGCGCTAATTGCAATACCCCAAGTAAACACAAAGAACCTGTTAGCTCATTGCTAAAGTGCCTAATACAATCACAATCAGTATGAATGTGAGCACCGCTCTGTGTCGCCCGCGGTAAAATCAGTGCCCCTGTCCATTGCTCCGTGAATTATAAGATAAGACGCTTTGCGGACGAGACATATACCCGTATTCGTCAGTCGCGAGTAGTGTCAGTTTAACCATTGACTAGTGACGTCATCGACTAAAATTATCACGTGGCGAGTCATAGTCATAGCTAAGTGAGCGCTTGGTATTCACCGGTCATGTTTAGGGCCTAGTCGTCCCCGCGACTGAGAAGTCGACTAACAAACCTTAGTCATGGGCAGCGATGGGCAAAATGCATGCAAATATGTATCGAAATACAAATAAAAAATACTTCGTCAAAGATGCATTTAATTGTAAATATAATTACATTTCCAAAAAAGAACTTAACTACAAGATGCAAATACAACCAAATGTATTTGGTCCCCTCCAAATACTTTTCCAAATACATTCCTCAAAATTTGCGTCAGCGACTTCAGAGCACCTGCAACGGGTTTCTGGGTATCTCATTTTAATTTTGCATCGCACACTCGGGAGTTAGTGTGCGAGGCTGTAGTAACGTAATGGAATTATAGTCACAAAAAAAATTAAAAAAAATGTAATCAGCTTGGACGTAATAGGTGAAAAAAATACTGAGCTTCAAGCAGCTTTTTTTGTCGATTACATTTCGGTATAGACCAACAAAGAACTGAGACGACCAAGACGCGCAGCACTAGCTAGAGAATTTTTTATTGTTGGAACTCGCACCAGTTACAAAAATTTGGACGACCCGCGCATTTAGAATGTTTCAGGCAGAAGTATGGATAGAAATTAGGTTAAAAAGCATCACAAGTTGTCACAGGCACTTATTTAGCCAGTCTGCCTGTGAACGTCGATTTCGTCACTAATCTTGCCCTGGACTAACACCGTAATCACAAAGTCACTAAGCGTTTGTACTTGATTGAGAGACACTGCATTCGGTGCAGAACGTAGTTTTCATCCTGCTCTGGACAGTGATAATAAATTTGATGGATGTATTTTCGCCCACAAAATTGTATTTAACTGCAATAGTATTTGAAATACCTACGTTTTAGTATTTAAATACACACATCAAATACATTACCCAATTTGTAATTAAATACAAATGCAAAATACGCAAAGTATTTTAAATACGTATTTGAAATACTTGTATTTGAAATACTGCCCATCCCTGGTCATGGGCTAGGGCTAGTTTAGCAGGTGTTCAGCGGGTGACTAGTGGCTGAGCGCCATGGCCGACTACTATCACCGCTGACCGCCAGCGCTAACGAAGCACTCACTGTGTCGGAACGCTGGGAGACACATCTATAAAGAATTGGAGGAGCAAATATTTTGTAAATAACCAAGTTCAACGGTCAGAATTACCGCTAAAAAGATCTCAGCAGGCCGCTGGACGACGAGTCAAAACTCATTTACGGACGCTTCCATATTTGTTTATGTCGCTGGCAATGCGCCTTCCGTGTTTATCCCCTGCGTTTTTTTCAATTTATTTTTTGTGAAACTTTGTTTTGGACTATTAGTCTCTCATTGTAACTTTGCTTTTCTGATAAACATTTAAAAATCTGTTTTTATACGATAAAATGCCCATTTACAAAGCGGCGTTAAAAGGGGTGCGGAAATCAAATTCCAGTGCTCATTTTTTAGCTTTAATGGGTTCCATGTTGCAGCATAACCTCAAAAATACCAGTCTTTTGATGAAAGGCACAAAAAAACTAATTTTAAAGCCAATTAAACGATATTTCAATGTGCACCTGGTGGATGCATGTGGAGCCTATTTTGGAGGTTATCTAGCAACATTGGGGAACATGCTACGTAGTCATGACGTAGCAAGCTCCATCGGAGCAGCGCCGCTCTTTGTAATTCAACATTTTCCTACATAAATTTCCACCTCAACGCACAAATCGCACAATGTACCAAACAGTTAATAAAGACAGACCCTCATTTGTGTAGCCGGACACAGCCATTGTCTCCCCAGAAGATTAGCCCGTCGCTCAAAATTTAAACAAAAGATGCTTTTCCCACACCGTTCAACCCTAAGCTCACAGTGCTGTGGAAGCTACGTGCTCCTTGGTCCAGCCACACGCTCGGCACCCCATGGGAACTTCGAACGGCTCGGTTGTAACGCGTTGACACCGTTTACACCACCGCAACGCTGACAACGACACCAACGACAAAGCTACGTCACAAATGCGGAGAATCTTTTTGTTTCTTTTTTTGTTTGCGCCCGATATTTCATGACACATCGCGCTCTCCGTTCGCTTCTCTTCGAGCGCTTGCTCGAGTGCACCGTTTGGAACGAAAAACATAGCCAGTAGTTTAAAATACAAACGTGCGATAATCTTTTACGGTTAATATCCCTCCTGCCTGACTCATTTTCGAACGAAATTTGAATATTTCGATTCGCGTTTCTGTACTCCTTTAAGTACACGTGTGCGTGACTTATCTTTTTATGTCACTCCCGCTTGTTAGTTCAGACTAGAGAGTCAACCGCTCGCTTCGTGCTCGTGAATACCGCAGAACTGGTCGATCCTTAGTCGAAGATATTTTGTCTTAATCGCGACTACTTAGACGCGATACTAACTTTAAAACAGCGCTAGTTAGTCACGACTGGTGAATACAGTTGAGTATGTCTCCAGCGATCGTTGCACCGTTCTGCATTTCCGAATCGTCTGCTAGCGAAGAACGGCCGGCGGAACCACAAAGCTGTTCACCATTGAAAAAGAGCATTTTTCGCTAGGAGTTTCCGCTAGTAAAAATTTCTTATCGGAGGTTTCGGAACAATCTACTAAAACTGCCTAATATTCACTTCGTGTGAGTTTTGCGAGGGCGACGGATCGCAAATCCGCACTCGCGAGAACTAAGCGCAGTTCAAGCGCAGCTCATATTACGCTGCCTGGAACTGTAAAAGCAACATAGAACTGCAGTAGTATATCGCAAACCATCCCGCAGTGACTTGGGCGTCGCTCGGAATCTTTATCGTGCGATAACCAACCAACCACCTTGAGGCTGGAACGAATATCACAAATGTATGCCCCGTCACGCACGCATAAAATGGTGCGCGTGCGTACGACAAATTGAACCCCATAAGTGATGACGTCACAACATGGCGTTCCGCTGCAAACAAACCGTTGCTCTGCTGGTTGGAAGAGTGGCGATGAAAACGACCGTGTGCTCTTCTCGTCTGCAGACTTCACTGACCCACACGCTGGCGAAGATATTCATCGTGACACACGCGCTGAAAGGTCACAGAGTTACTTCATATTTTGACGCATGTTCTGTAACTACATGAATTGCGCACGTTTCGCCCGTTAAATAGGCCGTGCGGCAAAATTCCGCGTTGAAAATTCTCCGAAGAAATGTTTCGGGACTGCCAGGGGCGCCGCTGTCGGCAGGCGAGTTAAGCGGGTTTCGCTATTTGCACAGTATCAACCGGGGTGTCACGTGACAACTCTAGCGACGCCACCTCTCTACGTCACGCATCTCTACCGCTCAGGGCCACGTGACCTTCTCTTCGCGTTTTGTCGGGTTCGCCGATCATCGTGCTGACCACTCCGCGAACGGGTAGGCACGGCTGCCGCGAACCGGCGTTTGCGGGTGGTTCACAGTTGGTCGTCGGCGAGCTCTGATCTCTATGTCTATTTGCTGGATAGCGATTGACCAGCTCCGCCTGTGTACGGGAATGCAGCCACGGTCGGCCATGTTTTCGGTAGAGTTATACAATTCTTAGCCATTAAAATAATATGGCGGACAGCGCTGTGGCGGCAGGCTGCCCTAAAATAGCCGTGGATCTACTACACTGTACCGTGGGCCATATTTTGTGCTTGATCGAAGTTGGTCGACGAAGCATATTCTTGAAACCCGGCGTGAAAGGTAGCCTTATCTTTGAGGACCCAGCGAAAGTTCTACTAGAGCCCAGCACCCGGAGAAAGCAGCGCAGCTCGCATCGAAAACAGACGCCGCACCGGTGTCTGCTTTCGAGGCTTTTTTTCGATGCGACTTTCGATGCGTGCTGTGCTGCTTTTCCCCGGTGCTGTCATACCGTGAAACTTTCACCGGGTCGATGAAGGTCGGGTCACCGTTCACGCCGGGTTTCAACAATATGTTTCGTCAAACAAGTTCAGTCAAGAACGAAATATAACCCACGGCTATTTTGCCACAACGCTGTCTGCCATGGATGGATGATTGTGGCTGCACCAGCTGTACATTGGCTAGAGGTAACATAACTCCACCAAAAAGATGGCCACCAGTGGCCGTATTCGCGGAGCGAGTAAACGCGATCCAGTAAATAGACATAAAGATCAGTTTCTGCGAGTCTCAGCCTTCCCGCCTGCTTTCCTCCTCGCCACTCAAAAACGCAGCTCATGCGCACTTGCGACCATGCTTCGCTGGCGGCGTCCGCCATTCAACAGAACCTTTGCTCAATCCTCCAAGCGCCCGGCCCGCACTCGAGAAATTGTGGGAACGGTGGTTCTTCAGATTCATAATGATCGGTCGTTTCGACCTATTCGATGGTCACACAGTTTCGAGTGTAATCCAGAGTCACCCTGAACAAGCATCATGTAGAATACAAGGGAGTGCCTTGTCACTTTTCAAATTTCTCTTACCTGTTAGCGATTTTATTACTGTTCGTTCAATCCACCCTTTAACCTGCTTCTGAGAGAAAAAAAAGAGAACTAATTATGTCTATGCTAGAAACTAGAGGAAAGATGACACATAAGTATTTGAAAAGGAGAAGACCAAACGCTATACAGAATAACGGATGATGGATTTCAGGTTTAACTTGTATCGTTGAAATTCATCGGGAGAAATAAGAAAAAATAAATAATCGAGATTACTTCCTCGTTCATATTTAGTAGATGTATTTTAACCTACGAGTAATTGAAGACTCACGCCAGTGAATAAAATTTATATCAAGGGGCCTCAAACAAAGGCAGTGTTATGCAGATGTTTCCGCATCTACTAATTGAGGGGCAACTTTTACTAAATGTATAGTACATTGGCAGAATGCGCAAAGTATAATTATTCGTCTTTATGTTGCTATGTGGTGCAGAGATTGAGAGGCCTCCAGGAAGTCAATAGAGCCGGGGACGTCAAGAAATTTGGATACATCATTCTTGGTGTTGGCCTCTTTCGCCCCTGGGAAGACGAAGCCTACGAATACCTGGAAGAACTTCTTCGGTACGTTCTTCGATTCTAGGTAAAAAATGAGACATACACTGAAAAACCTCAAACACAACTGATATATTTACTTTCCAAAAACTGTTTAAGTAGGCATTATGACAAACAGAAAATAAACCAAAGAGGGAGACACCAAATACACTCTATGCAAAGCTTAAAAAACAAATGTAGTGACACATCAATAACATAAAAAACGTAGGGACACCCACCACCTCTCTTATTCACTAACCTCAGCTAACTGCACTTTCTTTCCGCCTCCTACACTGGCACAACTAAGTTCCGTGTTACAATGCAGACCACAGAACATGTCGCCCTAGCTTGTCAAACCGCAATTAACAAACGAACCCTGAATGTCACCGCCTTTCAAAGCCCAAAAAACCGTCGTGGTTCAAGTTCCAAGCTAAACGAAGATTTTCAAACAACATTCCCGTGTTTTTGTATTTTTAAAGACCTTTTTTTATCAAGGGCCATAATAATTTATTTCGTAACCCTACGTAGGTAGATCCCCACAATGACACAATATTGTTAAATTGAGTTACATGTTCCTACACTTTGTGTAGTGTTAAGTGCTTATTTACGCAATGCTTAGATTGTTCAATATAACATAGGCCGCAATCAAAGCGTGTCTTCTATGCGACCGCTGATATACATTCTACGTATTTTTTTTTTGTCTATCTTCACACAACCTGTACTTGCTGAAGCGAGGGGATTCATGCGTCTCATTTTGTAAGCCATGAAAAGGCGGTGCCAGTATTAAAGCTGTGAGCTAGCGCATTGTAGTCGAGCTTTTGGTTGCACGTTTTAAAATCCCCAGGTGGTGGAAAGGAATCCTCAGTCCACCGCTAGAACTGCCAGATGCCCGTTGTTGGTTTGGCACAAGAAATCCCAAAACTTGACTATGGTGGGAAAGTTTAGGAAATTAGGGAACGATTACCCGTTAAGGAGGTGTTTTTTTTTTTTTTAATTTTCTGAGTTACCTTGTTTGAAGATACCTGACAAAACAACTATCTTAAGATATAATCTCTCAAAAATCGTCCATTCCTAAAATGAAACTATCGAATGAAAACATGACGTTTGTTCAGCTGCAATAATTAGGTTTTTAATTAACCCTATTTTCACATACTCCGAAAGGCAGCTACCGAAAGAAATTAAGAAGTGACTTTTCGCGGATTTGCCATTTTCCCAACAAAAGACAGGATCTGTTTTGAGCTGAAGATCCAGGTGATCTATGTTACCTCCTTCGGCCTTTCAAGCATATCTTTAATTCAGAAGCTATCTCAAACACTGGCTTCTTTAAAGATAATGTCACAGACACGCCTGTAGATCATTCACAAACCATGCAACGGCAGTGGTTTATCCATACTAGTTAGTGACTTCTGCAGATAGGAAGCCACGGTTTTTTGAAAGATTTCATTTTCATTTACGACCACCAGGGAGGAGAAAGGGTAGGTCTACTTTGTGGTATTTCACAAAAAGCTGAATGCCAAGCCACCTGAGACGCCGTTGAGTTTTGTGGCTGCCCCCACAAAATCGACGTCCTTCAAATATTTTTTTAAATTTCCCATTTGAATTGCTTGAAACGGCCGTCTAACGCCGAAAGCAAACCCCCAAAACCATACATTATCTTCCGATGCTCCAGTTTCGGCAAGAAAGCAAATAGTCTGGCTTATAGGGTTTATAAATTACCAGCTATTTTTCTTCGACCTCACTTTTTTGTGCGCCGTGATCCTAGTGAAATTTCAGTGGCCGCTTACATATTTTTTAATGATGACGACAGTAGTGTGGGTTTATTTCTGCTGGGTCGCACAGTGACATCACACAACATAAATCGGAAAAAACAATATTCCTCCAGGAGGGTTTGATGTTTACTTAGTTAAAATACGTTCTGTTTGTTTAGACAGATGGACGGTATAAAGGTTGACAATACTCCTCAGTGCAGATAGTGGAGGCGACAGAATCCTAATATAATTGTTTTTGCGTGAGTATATGTAAAGTTTTAAAGCTATAAATACCACATTGTAATCCCTGATTTCTAATGCAAACACATGCGTCAACATTGGAGAAGAGTTGAAGCTCTCACCAATAACAACAGTCAAAATTTAGTTGCAAAAAAATTTAAAAAGTGTCAAGCTGCCTTTTTTTTTTAAGTGTAACTGGCATGTCCCAAAATTCACCGCTTTTGCTAGAGTAAGCGTTGATTCTTCGAAAAAGAGCAAATGGAAGTCAACCGTTCAGGGTGAGGGTTACTCTTGTCTAGATTAGGAATTACTCGTCGTAAGAAGAGTACCGTTAACGTTTTCAAACGAATAGCCTTTGCTCTTATAGTTCGTGTTGAACGCACGCTGAAAGTGAGTGATGGGAACACTTGGTCAGTGTAAATTAACGACCCTTGCGAAGTGTTAAAGTGACTTTCATATCACGTGTTCATTTCACTCTTAAGGAGAGTAACCTTCAACTCTTTTGTAAGGGTTGCGTGAACTCCTAAATGTAGATTTATATGTATTGTTAATATATCAAGTGTCGTAGCATCTCTGCTGAAGTTTAACCGACAACTCTTACGTGGTGTTAAGATCACTTCCATAAAAAGAGTTAATTACACTGTTACAGAATAACTCCAATTATGTTACTTTGTGGTTAATTTTAAATCCAATGGAAGTTTATTAGTCCTAAGATACTGAAAGTTATCAGTTTATCAGTCCTTCCCAGAAGAGTAACATTCACCTCCAGTAGTGTAATGATTCAGAATAAATATTTTCATGAGATGAATGTGAGTCTAAGCGTTTGGAAGTCATTTAAACATCTTCCACTCGAAAACATTTGTGTCGAAATATATGAAACGACCTAAATGCAACAAAAGAGCGGCAACCGTTCCTTAAAATGGTACCTACAAGTGCATACGAAAGCTTAAGTGGCTCCTTGGGAAAGGCCAAGGTGTGACAAATAATGACACAAGTCACGAGGCTTTTTATTGAAATCAATTTTAATTGCAAAGACAATAATTGTACATATCCGACTCTCTCACCTTATCGAGAGAAGGTAGCGTGCTTAGAAACTGATGAATGCATTAAATAAACATTGCAAGCGATCTTCCGCTTTTGTACAGTAAAAGATGATACCCAGAAGAATGCAACAATGATCGCTGCACTTGTCGCGATTCCTGTCACCTTAAATAAAAACTCGTCCTGCTCCACAGTTATGATACTCTCAGAGCTCGAGGCCCTTTCATTGATGCGCACCACTTCAAACGGTGTATTGTCAGCATGTTCTCCTTGGAAACAGCAGAATAAATTTCGTGTATTGCTGTTAGGCACTTTTCTCAACCTGAAAGGCGATAGAATACAAATATCATTAGACCAGGCCGGACCAACAACAGCTACTCGGGAAATAAACGACTTCATTTGGGGTGAAAGTTAAGGTTCAGTGGTTGCTGTGGCCTCCCAGTGAGATGAGAGACATCAAAAGAAAGGCTGTCATTCCATCCTTTACTCTGGCTCTTCATTTAAAATTCTTCTTTTCTTATATTTTTGTAAATGGCTGTCTGGTTACCCTGGCACAACTGGAAACAACGCACAAATAACAAAGACGAGGAACGTGTAGCCGAGACAAGCGCTGGACCTAAACTGAATATTTAATAAAAGAAAAAAAAACGTCTAACTAACAATCTATTAGGTGTCCCAAGTCACCAGGCCCAATCTAAAAAAGACCGTAAAAACCGACGCCTGCATGTAGCAATCTAAACTTTTCGTCAATTATGTACTTCAAAAGTCGGTTTTTCTCGTAAAATTACAAAGCGTACCTCCTTTTCTGTAAACCATAGGGCCAAAAAACCCAGCCAGGGTCAACGCCGCACGGCGACGCAGACAACCGAGTCGACTTCCGGCGTATTTTGGCGTGCGTAATGGTAGGTGGCGTTGGGAGCAGCGTCTGAAGGTTTAGCCGACCATCGAAAGAAAGCAGACCACACGCTGACGAAATTCCGCTGGCAGCAAAAGCGCCGTCTTCGAGAAAACGTGTTTTTTTATCCTTTAAGTTTTGCTTTCCCTGTCTGCATTTAATTTTTAACCAAATGTACAGTGGCCCAAATTTTAATACTATCAAGCAAGCGTCGACTGCCGCGACGGCCAGCGCTGTGCTGCGGAGAAATGCGGCGCCACGGTAGAGATTAAACGCGTGCGCACAAAGCTCTTTCTGTGGCGAGCGTCGTCTGCTAGTCTATTTTGTTGACCGCACACAGCCCTTGTTCATTATCTGCTGGCATATCTAACCGCCTTTAAGCAAAGATCTGAACAGCGCTTGCTTTTATCTCCTCTTTTTTTTTTTTGATACTGCTCTGTCGTGGCATGAACCGCGCATCATCTCGCGTTTAATATACTTTTTTTTTTAATTCTTGGCTGCGTTCACTTTTGTGAACACCAGGGGACCTAAACTCGTAAAATACAAAGTTGGAGCCGACATTTCGCGGAGTACGTTGATTAGACGCCGGCGAAAAAGGTGCAAAGTCATCGTCGTGACAGTCTAAATCGGTGCGCTCCATGAACTTCAGACCCAACTTTGTGTTTCACGAGTTCAGAGCCCCTGAACACCAACGAAAATGAAAAATACGATGAGGCACAAACTGAACACAACGATGCATTGAATTATATACCGATTTACCGTAAACAAAGCTACGAGCCATCAAACCAATCCAGTGCTTTCACCCTGCCGCATACTTCTACACGCCTTCATGTTAGACCGAAACCTTGGTGGACTAAGGAGTGCAGCGAGACTCGGAAATAACAAAATTGTTCATGGGATGTACTACGCCGGTACCCGATGCCTCCAAATGTCTTAGCCTTCAAACAGGCTCGGGCGAAGGCTTGATATGTTCGTCGTCAATCCAAAAAGACGACATAGAAGAAATACACCTCCTCCGTTAATACTCACACCGGCGTAAAAGTTGTCTGAAAAAAAACTGCATAAGATTAATGGGGATTATCGAGCCTTCTCTATACCGTTTTTTGATCTGCCAGGTGGTGTACTGCCTAGTCTTGAGCAGCCGGCCAATATTCCAGGAGAGCACTTTGCATCTGTATCGGGTTCACCACATTACTCGGCTGCATTATTAAAGCATAAAAGTGTTATAGAGAAGAAGCGAATAAATACCTCTACAGGACTACAGGAACCCTATAATAGACCATTTACTTTTCGAGAGTTACAGGCAGCTTTAAATAAAAGTAAAAATACCTCCTCAGGACCAGACCGGATTCATTACTGTATGCTCAAGCATTTGCATTCTAATACCCTGCAAGCGCTTTTAAACATTTTTAACCAAATCTGG